AGGCGTGGAGCCTGCGGCTTAATTTGACTCAACACGGGAAAACTTACCAGGTCCAGACATAATGAGGATTGACAGATTGAAAGCTCTTTCTTGATTTTGTGGGTGGTGGTCAATACTATGGTTGTGTGCCACGCTGCAAGTCTGCAGGATCCATCCCAAACTCGTAATGCCACCCTGAAGACGCATGCGAGGGATCCTGGTAAACAGGCTGCAAGTCTGCCTTCGTTTTCGAAGGCAGGCAACACCGTCAAATTGCGGGGATAGTCTAAAGCTCGTCGTACCAAGCAAGGCTCGAAAGGGACCTTGTGGCCGGGTTAATTGCCTCGGGTATGGTAAGAATCGACGAGATGTAACAATGGCCAATCCGCAGCCAAGTCCTAAGGGCTCTTCAGGGAGCCTATGGATGCAGTTCACAGACTAGATGTCGGTGGGTCTCCCTCTCCAGAGGGTAGGCTTAAGATATAGTCGGGCCGCCTGGGAGACCAGGATGAGGCGACGAAGAAGCAGAGCTTCCCGAGCGTCTCAGTGCTGATACTCTTCAGCATGGGCTGGCCGGCATGGCCGTTCTTAGTTGGTGGGTTGCCTTGTCAGGTTGATTCCGGTAACGAACGAGACCTCAACCTGCTAAATAGTCGTCATTGGCTCTTGCCAGTGCATGCGCTTCTTAGAGGGACTATCGGCGACTAGCCGATGGAAGTGTGAGGCAATAACAGGTCTGTGATGCCCTTAGATGTTCTGGGCCGCACGCGCGCTACACTGATGCAATCAACGAGCTCAGCCTTGGTCGAGAGACCCGGGTAATCTTGTAAACTGCATCGTGATGGGGCTAGACTCTTGCAATTATTAGTCTTCAACGAGGAATGCCTAGTAAGCGCAAGTCATCAGCTTGCGTTGATTACGTCCCTGCCCTTTGTACACACCGCCCGTCGCTCCTACCGATTGGATGTGCTGGTGAAGCGCTCGGACTGGCTGCAAGTGGTGGTTCTCCGCCACCTGCAGCTGGGAAGTTCGTTGAACCCTCCCATCTAGAGGAAGGAGAAGTCGTAACAAGGTTTCCGTAGGTGAACCTGCGGAGGGATCATTGAATCTATTGATCTTTTCAACCGGTGACCAATCTGTAAAGCTGCTCTTCACCTGAGACATGGCGTGCTTGTGTGGGAATCAAGCATGTTTGTGAAGGGTTGTGTATCCCTGGGTCGAGGGGAGGTTCTCTCCCTGAGGCTCAGGTTGCACAGGCTACGGCCGGCCGAAACCTGTTTTTTGACCTTTAATCATCCCAGCTGAAGCTTTGGAGATCCTTAATTGGTGATCCTCACAACCGAGACAACTCTCAACAACGGATATCTTGGCTCCCACATCGATGAAGAACGCAGCGAAATGCGATACTTAATGTGAATTGCAGAATTCCGTGAATCATCGAGTCTTTGAACGCATATTGCGCCCAAGGCTTCGGCCAAGGGCACGTCTGCCTCAGCGTCGGTTGACCCTTCTTGCCTTTCTCCCTTTGGGGTTGACTGGCAGAGCTGGCAGTCTCGCTTGGTAATTACTCTGAGCGAGTCTGCTGTAGAATAGACGTGGTGACTAGTCTGTACCCTCGAAAGAGGGAAGGCTGTCAAGCTGGTAGGTGACCTCGTGTCGCATGCCATTGATGCCTTTGACTTGACACTGCTGCTTACCCACTTTGATTTCAAAGTTCGACCTGAGTTCAGACGAGACCACCCGCTCAACTTAAGCATATCAGTCGGCGGAGGAAAAGAAACTAACCAGGATTCCCCTAGTAGCGGCGAGCGAAGCGGGATTAGCCCAACTTGAAAATCTGTGACCTCTGGTCATCGAATTGTAGTCTAAAGAAGCATGCCCTGCGGCAAGCCTTGCCCAAGTGCCCTGGAAAGGGCCGTCAGAGAGGGTGAGAACCCCGTCGGCGAGGTACTTGACTGCTTCACGGGCTGTTTTCACAGAGTCGGGTTGCTTGGGAATGCAGCCCAAAGTAGGTGGTAAATCCCATCTAAGGCTAAATACTGGCGGGAGACCGATAGCGAACAAGTACCGTGAGGGAAAGATGAAAAGAACTTTGAAAAGAGAGTTAAAAAGTACTTGAAATTGTTGAGGGGGAAGGGAATGGAAGCTGCAGGTGCTCCCTTGCTTATGCTAGCCTCACGGCTGGTTGTTTGCTCTGGGAGCTGGTCAGCATCGAGTTGGTTGGCGGGATAAAAGCAAGGCTTGATCCCTTGTCTCTGTCGCCCTCCAACTCGAGGCAGTGAAACTTGCTCTTTGAGTCCTTCGGGAACTGCAAGCTCACGATGCT